GAAGATTGTAGTTCAGTGAGTGCAGTACTGATGATCATGGGGTGTAGTTCCTGCTCATCTAGAAAAACATATTTTAAATGAGAAGGGAGAGTTTTTAGCTCAGGTTTCTTGACCTCTGCAGGTTTTTATTCCTTAACTAAATTTACTACCTTCATTGTTTCCTAGGGGCTTAACTCTTCTAAGGAAAGAGCTTTTTCAATACTTTGTACCTCATTACCCCAAATGCTTGCATTGTCGCTAGATAAATTCCCGCAGAGAACTTCCTCCAAGGGATCCTTCGCAAGAACCTGTGGCAAGCTATCAACACAAATATCGTCCATTATATCAATTGTATCAATATAACAACAATTTTCCTCTAACTTAGGCCCTTTCAAAACCTTCCCTAAATTAAAGGTAACATTATCGTCACCTACAGAAAGGGTTTGTTTACCGTTTTTTACATCAATAATAGCTCCTGCAGTGTGGAGGAAAGGCCTACCTAATATAATGGGTATTTGTGTGTCCTCTGCCATATCAAAAACAACAAAATCAACAGAAATAAAAAATTTACCAACTCTGACAGGTACGTCCTCTAAAATACCTAAGGGATATTTTACCGAACGATCTGCCATTTGCAAAGTTATATTAATAATTTTTAATTCCCCCATATTTAATTTAGCACATATAGATGATGGCATGACACTGACACTAGCACCCAAATCACATAAAGCTTTATCAATAAAAACATTCCCAATGTGACAAGGGATAAAAAACTACCGGGATCCTTTAATTTTGGAGGTGATTTATTTTTTAAATAAGCGCTACACTCCTCTGTGACAGCTACAGTTTCTACTTCATTAAAGGCCCTTTTCCTAGTCAGAATGTCTTTCATGAATTTAGCATAAGCAGGTACTTGAGTGATTAAATCAGTGAAAGGAACTGTTACCTGCAGGTTTTTCACAACCTCTAAAAACTTACCGAATTGTTTATCAAGCTTACTCTTCAGTTGTCTATTGGGCAATGGAAGCTTGATAACTAGGCTATGCACATCTCCTCCCTTATCCTGCAATTTACCCTGCACAGAAACATTAGTAGGGTTAGTATCTTTTTGTAGCCCTGCAGGGCTAGCAGGATTACCGTTTGGTGTAGAGGAATCTAGATCAGGAACTGGTCCATCTTCCTTTGGCATAGGAGGTCCATCACAATGTGAACCACTCCTTAGAGTGATTGCATTAGCATGATCTGTAGGATGGATAGGTTGTGATGGTAGAGCTCCCTGCTGACGGGATTGTAGGGTAGATGAAAGTAGTGCAATTTGATTGTCCATGATTTTATTATGGGCTAGAATAGAATCAATTTGCGCATCCCTACTCTCCATGTGCTTTTGCATATTAGCTAGCATCGCTCTAATTTCTGTCATGGCAGGGTCGGAAGATGATGAGGGTGATGCTTGGCTTTTCTGGCCGGCATTAGGATGGTAATATTTTTGCTGTGGTGGGGGCTGCTGTTGTGGTTGTTGTGGAGGTGGAGGGTTTTGTACATTGGTACTCTGGTATGAAAGATAAGGATGGTTTTTATAACCGCCATTGTAGGAATTGGAATAGGGGTTATTTTGCCTATAGGTTTGAAAGGCATTAACTTGTTCTATAGAGCTCCTACAATCTTGCTCCCAATGACCTACAATTCCACAATTTTCACAAAAAGCCTCATGGTTAGCAACAGCAGAAACATTAGCTACAGAGTTAGGAGCAGCAGTAAGATTATCTAATTTTTGACAAATAGATGTTAATTGAGCTTGCAAAAAGGATACAGAATCGACATTATGTTTTCCCTTATTTGCAAACCCCCTCGGATTCCCATATTGGGAATTGTGTATTGCCATGTCTTCGATAACCTGTCCTGCATCATCCACATTTAAATTCATAAACCTCCCACTAGCTGCCGAATCTAATACTAATCTAGAGGAATTTCCAAGTCCATTAAAGAATGCTTGGATCAATTGCCATTGTGCTAGATTGTGGTGGGGGCACTCTCTCTGTAGATCCTTGAACCTCTCCCAAGCCTCATATAATGTTTCGTCGACCTCTTGGGGAAGTTCTGAATAACACTCCTTAGCACCGCTGTTCTCTCTGCAGAAAAATATTTATTATAAAAATTCAAAGCAAGAGTTTCCCAATCAGTAATACCAAGTGCAGTTCTATTCAAACCATTAAACCATAATTTTTCTTTGCCACATAAAGAAAAGGGAAAGAGAATCTCCATGATTTGGTCCTGCGTAACTCCGGCTTGTCTAATGGTGTTACAATATTGGCAGAAATCTGCGATGTGAAGATTAGGATCTTCACCCTTAGCTCCGCTGAACTGCTTCTTCTCTATCATAGTAATAAATTGGGGCTTGATCTCAAAGTGAACTCCATCTAGAGCCGGAGTAGGAGTAAGGTGCGGGAAGTCTGTGAGCTTCGGTTGCAAATAATCACTGAGTTTCTTCTGGGCCGTCATCTCTGATTCTGAATCTGAAGGAATATCTGTATCACTAGAATCAGGGGGAGGATCTCTTCGATCGTTGTCCTCCTCAAAACCCGCCAGAATTTGTCTATAGAGTCTCCTTTGCCAATGAAAAGAACGCTCGATCTCAGGATCAAAAGGGATGTCACCTGATCTAGAACACATGGGCATAAACAAAGAACTAGAGACAAATATGAGATTTGCCTCAAGGAACTAATGTTCTCTGAGGCAAAAAGGGGGATAATCTAGACTACAAAAATATAATCAGAAAATAAAAATAAAACCGTTTCCCCGGCAACGGCGCCAAATTTTGACAGGGTAAAGTCATATCCCCTAATCAAAAATAAATAACTAAATCCTCTAACTAAAGTAGATAGGGAAGTAGGGTCGATCTCCACAGGGAAACAGGTCTTTTTAATTCTAATTAATTAATATAATCTAAATTATCTAAGTAACCAATATTTTAAATGTGAATTCTATACTACGAAGAATGAGTTTAGGGAGAAAATAATCAATAATAAGGAAACCTAGGGTCACAGGTTCACCAATAATTAATATTCCGGGATAGAACGAAGTAATTAATAATTAACAATGCATAGATAACATGATTAACAGGCTCTCGCAATTTATTAATCAACAAAGATCTAACAGGCTCTCGCAATTTATTAGACCTAAGTTCCTATTAAAAATAGCCTTTAATATTAAATCAACATCTGCTCGATTCATCAATTCAATATTGCTAAACATTCACAATCAAATTACATCTGCTCGATTCATAATCTAATTGCAAAGAATTAAACAATTCAATAGGAAATTATCATGCAATATCAACAATCAATAATAACAAACTATCCCTTCATATTAATTATGGATCCCCATAAACCCTTGAATTAAACTACTCACTCATCATCATAACTAAACCAATCAAATGAATAAATAAGAACATAATCAAGAAAATAATTAAAATAGCTGAAATTAAGAAGGGAAGAAATTGTACCAAAACAAATCTGGAATTATTGAAGGAATTAAGAACAAGAGTTAGAGAGAATTTTAGAGAGAGAAAAATACTAAGTAGAGAGAGAAAGTCTAAGAGAAAGAAGGTAAGTAAATAATCCGTACAAAACGTATATATACTTCTCCTAAAACAAGAATTAACTAAACTTAATCAGACATTAGGAAAAACACGCGCCCGATCGGGCGAAGGGGCGCCTGATCGGGCCCGCCTTTTTTACCACGCCCAGTCTAATATGCCGCGCCCGATCGAGCCTACACTCACCCGATCGGGCGCGCCTTTCCTTGATAGCATTTATGCGCGCAGCCGCCCGATCGGGCGTATGCTTGCCCGATCGGGCCCGGTCTTCATCTTCAAGGCTTGGACTTCGATTGGGCTAGATTTCTTGGCCCAATCCATATTTCCTCTCGGGTCTCGAATACATGGTCCAATTGCCTCGTGATCCAAATAACCGAGCCCTTAATCACCGGCTTGATGGCTCTAGCCGGCCTTGGGCTCCAAAAGTGGTCGTGTTCCTCCAATGCTCGTAGTCGCTTCATAAAAATCCCGGGAAAATTCTCCAAAGGTGCAATTCCCTGCAAAACTTAACCAAAACTACGAAAACACTAGAAAACACATATTAGTAATAAAAGTGGCCCGAAAGAGCCAAAAACACTACTAATAATGACCATGGGACGGGGGTAAAACACTATATAAAATAGATATATCATTTAGTCATGATGACTTGTGAGTAGTTTAATTTCTAGGGTTTATGGGGATCTAATAAATAATATGAAGGGGTAATTTATTGTTGTTAATTATCAATGCTAGATTAATTTCCTATTGATTTATTTAATGCTCTGTGACTAGATTAGGCCTATCTTTTATGCATGAGTTTGACAACATTGATTCGAGATTCGACAGATGAGAATTAATGTTTAGGTCTAGTTTCAATAGGCAGATTAATTTATAAGTGGTTAAGTCAAGATTCGAGAGATGAGATTTAATACCGGTAAATTAATTGTGTGATTGTAATACGTAGCGAAAGCCCTTTACAATCTGGTTAATTGATGCATTGATGATTGACTATTATTGATTATTGGTATTGCATGATAATTTCTTATTGAATTGTTTTAATGTTTTACAATTGCGGCTTGTAAAAGTGTAGCAATATTAAATTGATGAATCGAGCAGATGTTAATTTGATATTAAAGGCCATTTTTAATAAGAACTTAGATCTAGTAAATTGCGAAAGCCTGTTAGATCTATGATGATTAATAAATTGCGAGAGCCTGTTAATCGTGTTATTAATGCAATGTTAATGATTGATTACTATGTTTTACCCTGGAGTATTATTTATTGATGAACCTATAACCTAGATCCTTTCATATATTATTTTCTCTCTATTCTCAATCTTAGTAGTTTAGTTACTTATTCGAATATAAATATTGGTTACTAGATAATTTAGATTATATTAATTAATTAGGAGTAAAAAGACTTGTTTCCCTGTGGAGATCGACCCTACTTCCCTGTCTACTTTAGTTAGAGGACTTAGGAATTATTTTTGATTAGGGGATACGACTTTACCCTGCCAATCTCCAGCTGTCAGCTCTGTCCACAGTCACTGCAAAGTCTTCTTGAATGCAGAAATCTCTAAACACTTCAAGAAATTGAGCCTTGTTCTCAAAAATCAACCAAGGCTCTAGAACTATAGAACCAAACTCTACTTCTGCCCAGATTTTCCCATTTTTATACAACTTATCCAACTTGTGACTCCCATCTAAATAATTTTCAAACCTTTTCTCTCTCAACTCTAGCTCATCATCTAACACATTATCCTCCTCTTCTTCAATGAATTCTAGGTCACTCACATTCTCATCATCTTCATCAGCATCAAAAAATACATAATCATTATCCTCACTATCATCACACCCTGACTCACTCACCTGCACATCTCTGTCCACAATCTCCCTTCTCACTCTCTCAACTCCCTTACCTCTCCCTATTACACTGGATTTACTTTTGGGTACCCTCCAGTTGGAAGGCCTCACTCTTGGTTTATTTTCTTAGGTTGAGAAGATGAGCTTGCATGTGTTTTGGTTGGTGGAGGTGGAGGTGGTGGTGGTGGTGTTGGTTCCTGCCTAGTTGGACATGGTGGTGTTTCCTGCCTTGGTGGAGATGGTGGTGTTGGTCTTGGGGAGGGTGGTGTTGGTTGTATTGGGGAGGGTGGTGTTGGTGTTGTTTTTCTTGGAGAGGGTGGTGCTACTGCTTGTTTTGCCCCCTTCTTTGGTGTTGCTTTCTTTTTTTTGGGTGTCATTTTCTTTCTCCAACCAGTTGTAGGTGATGCAGTGTGAGAGGGTGGTGGTTTATGTTCAGGCTGTGAGGGTTGAGGTTGAGAGCTTCCTGGGAAACACTCATCAGCTTCAGTAGTGTTAAACACTCTCACATACTCCACCCCCAAGTCCTCTGCACTAACTACTAGCACCTCAACAACAGTAAATTGATGCTGCTCCACAACTCCTTCTCAGCTTGCACTCTTTCAGCCTCCCTCTCATTCTTTTCAATTTCCCTCTTCACTTTTTCAGCCTCTTCCTTCAACCTTCTCTGCCACCCCTTTTCAGCAGCCTGGAATACAATCCCTGGCTCCTTAGTTTCCTCAACCCATATCTCAATAGTGTCCTTACTCTGGTTCCATTCCCACATTTTTAACATATAAACATCATCCTTAAGCTCCAACCTCCTATTTGTCCTAGGCTTATTGACAAACAAAGCAAAGAATTTTGGTAGAAACACATTCTGTTTCACTGAGCACTCAAACATATCTTCATATAACCCCATTAAGTGACACTTATCAGTATCTTCAACAAGAACATCAAAATCCTGAGAATTATCATCCTTCTTACCATGTACTAACAACCATACTCCACTCATCCTATATACAATATCAAATTAAATCACCAATTACATTCCACACAAATGTAAAATAAGTAAAACAAAAAAAAAAAACAAAACAACAACAACAAAATAATTTCTTTAAGTTTTGATCAAATACCCTAACCCTAGATCATCAAAATTACTTAAATCAACCAAAAACAATTACAAAAGTCCAACAAGAATTACCAAAGTAATCATATCACTAAATGCAACAAAATTTCAACATAAACACAACTCATTCCCAAATCCATTCAAACCCTAGATTTCGTGCAAAATTCTGACAAAAAATCGCAACTTTATACTTCGAAATTAAAAACGAAGGAAGAGAAATTACATTACTTGCTGTTTCACAAGCCCACCCTTTGTATTTTGCCAAGTATGCTTTCACCAACCCAAAACGTTTAACAGACCCTCAAGAATCCACCTTTTTTTCCCAATCAAAACATCAATTTTATCCCGTGCTCCCACTCTTCTCAAATGCAAACCATGCAAGTCTTTCTATGACAGAATTCAATGGAGAATTTCAAGGGAAAACGTGCGAAGAACAGGAGAGTGCTAGAGAGAGAGAGATGATGCAAAAGATAAGTTATGAAGATTTTGGTCTTCATTAGTAAGTCAAGAAGAAAATGGCTCTCAACATTAATTAAGGGCATAATGGTAAAAACACACAAACGGGGAGTTAACGTTAGTTAGGTAAAAGGGCATTTAATGCATTGTACAATAACTGATGGGTATTTGGTGCATTTGAAAGTTTTGATGGGTAATTGTTGAATAAAAAAATTACTCAGGGACATTTGATGAAATTTCATTAAAATGGAGTTACTCTACCTTTAGGCTCCATTATTTGGAATTCCATCATCTCCTTTGCTCTTTCTCTCCTCCTTCCCTTCCTACTCCTCATCCATCGGGCATTAGCTTCTGATGACGACGACATCATTTTTTTACGAAGGAGTTGTTTGGCACGAACGGCGCTGTCCTGTCCACCACTCTTTTAAATACAACGTTCGTTATGCACTAATTCACCTTGATGTCTCGCCTCTTTCGCCGTCTTCTAACCATTTATCGGCTTGCGAGGCTCAAAACATTGACGGGACTACAGGCCCCGTGTATGTTTAAACTACTCAAGTCACTCATTTCTTCTCATTTGCATTTTATATTTGTTGCCAATATGTTTATTTACCTTTTTGTCATTGTGATTTTCTAGTACTAATTTGACACTAACTTAACTTTGATGAAAGTATTAGACTATGTAAACGGATAAATTAATTGAAATTTTTTTACCACCTAAAAAAGTCATAAGTTGTTGTGATTTAAATTTTATTGCTTTTTCGTTCGTTTATATAGTCTAATCATTACCTGAAATCGCGTGATGTGTTGCAAAAAGGTAAAAAAAAAATGAAAAAAAGAGGAAGTAGTTTGGCATTTCATTTTATGTAAAGTCAGTTGTGCTTGGAAGCTTGGATGATAAACTTGTCAATGTTTCAACAATTTTCTTCCATAACATTAATTTAGAAAATTTCAAAAATTTAGGCCTAATTATGCACACATTCTGAAATACAGTGCCTTTATTTTGCATATTTCTTTAACAATACCGTCTAGTGTGGGATATGAACAAAATTCATTGAGTTTATACTACTGATATGACCAAGAAAACTCTTCTACTAATTTGAAGAAGTGTATTGCTGAGGTAATACATCAATCTCAAATACAGCTGTTTTATTTTTCTTTTATTAGATGATTACTGAGATTAAATCACCTTTCAAATTCTTTATGCATTACTCTTTTGATTCTTTCAATATAGTTTATCAGGTTTCAATTTTATTGTGATATTGATACATTTGTTTTTCGTCTAGGTAACTAATACACCTTGGGGAGAAAGAGTAAAATTTGTTTTTAATCCAAGCTCGGACGTGGTTGCAAAAGCATTACATGTTAGCCCTTTCATGGTATGACATTGCACATTGGTAAACTAATAGGCTCACCATTCCGCCCCCCCAATTCATAAATGTGCAAAGCATCATTCATTTTATTTGCCAAGACTCAAGAGATATGCACATGTTTCTATGATACTTAGATCGAGGTCCTTGCATTTAGACATACAAGAACTATCATACTCTATTACAATCAAAATATAGTAGGATTAGTCCGCAAAAGTTATATGCTAGTTACCTTCCTACCAATCTCCAATGCGGGACAATAATCTTTCGCACAAACATGAGAAATTCCTTATAGTAGTGAGAGTATAAGTTGAAGCACCATCTGTTAGGGTCCCCAAGTGTTTAGAAAACTATAGCCTTAAATGTAGCATTGTAGCCCATATAGGGTGGAGGAATAAACTATTCCTTGACTTTTCGAAAATAAAGATTTGCAGGCATTTGGCCTAACCATATTTTTTCCTAACCTCTTTCAGATTTCTGCTGTTCATTGTGAGTCACCTTCTTGGAACCACTTTTTCTAAATAAACCCTGAGATAAATATTAGAGGAGGTTACTGCTTACTGATATCTTGATTTATTCATTTCTTACAATTGAATGCACTATTGTGTTGTATCCTTATAGGTGAGACTATTGGATTTTACATGAATTTCTTAAAGATAATACGTTATGTTCTGTATAATATATGGAATGTGCTTGTTACAAATTAATAATTGCTGTATAATTTGATTACTATTCTTTGTATAATAAACCCTTGGATGAGTTTGTCTGTTAATGCATGAGAAAAGGTTTTGTGGGAGATGGGTTAATTTCTCAATGATATGCTATATGAGTAGACCTTTTACTCAACAGTTTGTTCTTGATGATGTGCATTGGCAGAGCTATATCTCTGGACTGGTAGGACTAATTTCTCCTGAACTTACTTTTTTTTTAACGATCTCCTGAACTTAATAAACTCAATGGAGCTCTTATATTTAATGTTTGAAACTAAAATTTATGATTGGCTATTTGTTTTATTTTTATGTGTCTCATTCATATGCAGCAATACACCGTAGTATTTGTCTGAAGAGAAGAATCAATTATAAATCAGTATCATGATACTTGAAATAATTTGTTGCTGTTGCATTATCCTGAGTTCCGTAAGGAATGCATAAGTTTTAGCTGCTGTATCTTAGCATTGTAGATGATTTTGTTATTTTTATGCTGATGGTGACTTACTTACCAAATAGTAAAATGTAGCTATTCTACTTGACTTCTTTAAAGATATACCTTTGACTATTTGGTGTCATCAGCTGGATTCCACATACTAGAACTGATTGCAAAATAAATGACTTGTAAAAAATCATGCAGGACATGCAAGGGAGTTGGAAAATCAAGGCAATAGCACCTGGAAATGATTGGTCAGTTGTTATCTCTGTTCAGCACCCTGTTCTTGGTGAACATTACTGTGCTATATTAAGAGCGCAAAGAGTGAGCTCCTCCAAGGTAGTTGATCAATTGTTCTTCTTCTGGTTGATGCCGCACAAAGTTGCAGTTTGGATATATTGGCATGTAAGTGATACCGAATTGAAATCAATGCATGTATAAAGTTTTTAATAATGAAACATAATTTGTAGCTTCGTGAGAAGCTAAAAACTTTGCATCATATAAATGACTCTTCTTAACCTCTTCACACCATTTAAGGAGACTACTCAACCTCCAAGAGTGAGTGTACAATCTGGTAGATATTTATCAGGAAAATCACCATTAACTATGATCTACATCTCCAGTATTCAAGAAATGCCAAATCATCATGATCTTCTTGATATGTCTGGACTTTCTTTATGCCTTTCCATTGATTAATTTCAAGTTATAGTAGCATCCTATGAATCTTGTGACGTAGGAAACATTTAACTGTGCATGCAACAATACATAAGTGCACTATGCTGTTAGAAACATATGGAGTGACTCTCAATTCCTCTCTCCTTCTTGGTTGTAAAACTTTGTATATCTTGTCCTCTTTATCCATCAGAACATCAAACCCCTTTCATCTTTGACATAATCAATCTTTTGAGGACCTCATCAAGATTATCTTCGTAAAAGAGTACCCCATAACTTCTGTGTTTGTCAAGAGTTTGATTTCAGAAAACAACTTACATCTCAAAGAATCTTTCTTTCATAATTGATCTTAGAAATCCTAAGTTTTATCTATCACCCCTTTTTATAGGAAGCAAGCTTAATATCATTGAGATACAATATCTAGTGAATAAACTTGCCTCCAAATGACCTTAGCATATTAACACTGGCCTACCCAACCATGTACATGCATATGCGGTACATAATTTATCTAGCCCCTGGCCAGTCAACACTATTAAGGGAAGATGATAATCTGAATGAAGGAAACCTCCTCATTACTTTTAGAGTGAGGTGAAGACCTTATTATACTGCTTCTTAATTTTTCCTTATCTTCTAGACCTTCCAGTTTCCATAATCTTTGAACTTAATTAATTAATAAAGTTATTTACTATAAAGCAGAAAGCTTTACTTAAGGTGTCCTTACATTTCGTGATTCTGATGGTAAACTTAAGAAAAAAGGCCGCTGCAGGAACTTCCTTTTCTGAGGTAGTTTTTCCAAATATATTATGGCTTTAAAACCATAAGAGTTTTATAAACCAAAAAATAGAAATATTTTAGTGATTAGAGATTAAGGAGATCGATCACAAATCTAAGATACTGTAGAGAGGACTAGAAAATAACAAAGGACTAAATGAGACAATATAGTTTCATATCCTAAGTTATGTACTACAAGTAAAATTTTGTGTTTAAACTGCTTTTGAAATGTTAAAAATTCAAAGCATATATTTCTAATGTTTCATAGTTTACGCATTTTCTCTTTCAAGATGTGTCCAATTGTTTTATGCCATATATTACTCAAGTATTCCGTTTGTGGTACTGTGATATAAGTGGTAATGTATGTCACATTGTAACGGATCCACATTATCAGAAGTCCATGTAGGATTGTTCTTTTACTGGCAGGATCAATTGATCAAATGTAGTAATTTAACCTTTGAGATAGATTTGCAGATTCAAATTACACATATCTGGCACTTTTTAGTTCTATTCTTGTTCCAGCTTACACGTATCTGTTTTAAATCATTCTTTTGATGAAATATGATCATATTGTTGATTTTTAAAGTTTTTAAGTCTCTTACATTGGCCATCTGCTTTAAAATATCTTAAATGAACATTCAGGTAAAATAAAAATAGCATTAATCAGGAGCAAAATGCTAAAGTGTGTATGATCTAACAAGTATATGTTTTTCTTTTACTTTCTTCATGTGATAGGCTCTTAAGCTTTGGTGGAAAAGTGTTTCATTCGTCCAATATCCTAGGTATAATAATCCAGCTTATAGAGAGGAAGCTGTATCACGTGACAAGCAGTTAAATTGAAGCAAGGCAGGGGACTTTGAAACAAGTTTGTGCCCCAAAGAAGACAGAAATGTAATAGATCACCAATTTAGTTGGACTAATCCAAAACGGCCTTGGTCATAACTGATACAAGGTACCACATTCTATTTTTACTATATCATTTACGTAGCTTAGAAGTTGAGTAGCTCTAAATAGGAGATGTAATTTATAATAATAATTCACATTCTATTTTAATCTTGTGCTGCAATCATG